CTTGGTTGTCCATGGAGAAACTTGGTTCGAGCTCATTGAACAAACATCCATCCAGTGACATATTTCGCGTTTTTTCGCTATACAGTGCAAAATCATATGTTAGTTGATTGTCAATCCCAAGACAAATATGAGCAGAAAGAGAATAAAGTAAGTAACTTACTTCAGCGTGACGTCTGAATCAATCGTAGATGTCAAAAGCTTCTTTCGGCCCAGAGCCATTTTGACAGTGCTACTGAAAGAGCCGAACCGAGTAGAAGATGAACCCTGTCTCTGGTTGATCATGATATGTGGATGACGAAGCGCAGGGAAACAATCTCCAAAGCCAAGTCTTAGAAGAATTGACCGGTACATCATGGTGGCGTCATGGCCAATACCAAAGAAAAAGAAAAGGAGGAAGCCCGCCGCAGCTTGTATCCAACGATCGTAGTAGACTTGTCCATGCATTGGGATCTTGATAATCTCACCCCAGTGAGGACTATGAACTTCGGTCCATGAATAAGGAGCCCAGGGTTTATAGGAGGTTATGTTGGTGTAAAAGACGAAGAACTGAGCTGGTAGGCTCCCGAGAAGAAGGACAAGCGAGATGGTGAGTAGGCGGACAAATTTTGATTTGCTGGTTGAGCTGTCCGAAGACACAAGCTGGGAAAATTCACGTTTGTACTTGAACAATCGGTATAGCACGATGCCTGGCTTAAGAGTTAGTAATGCCCTATGTGAAAGGTGTACTGCAAGTGGTTAAAACCTTACCACAATAAAAACAAGCGATTATCAAAATGATTGGAGGCCAGATGTAACCAACGACGAAGCTGACCCAGCTAGAATGATAAGCTGGCATGCAGCCCACGATGCTGTAAATGTAATATCTGCTGTCCTGGATGATGAAATGCAGTACCATAATGACCACGGGGATAACAACACAATATATGACGTCAAATGTGATATTCCATCTTCGGTCACCTTTTGTAGGCACAAGGGTAGTTCGCTCTGTGTCCAGAACCTTTGCAAGACTGCGAAATATGCAGACTAAGGGACCAGCAATACCGACACCAGCGCCAGTGATAAGCTTGGACTGGATATCACAATAGCCATAACCCATCCACCGGGAGCTGAAATCATCATCAGGCCAAATTAACGGGTTAATGAAGTTGAATAAGTTCTGGGTGAGAATCCACATTATCAAGCAGGAGGCGGGAAAGTTGCCATTTCGACAATGCCAAATCAACGGTGGGATGCAGACAAGAAACGACATGAACGCAACAGTGCAGAGCACTACTGCCTGCGTTGACATTTCATAAACCAGAGGTAGATTGTTATTCTCCATGATGAAAATATTCTGTCAGAACCCAGTGCAATGCGCCTATCCAGTTCTATGGACACCATACGGAGTTGTTAGCCATAGTTCTCAGTAGTTACCTCGTTATCCATTGGAATCGTAGGGATAATCGTACCAAGCTCGAGCAGAATCCTGAGAAAGGAAGACACCTTTGATGCTGCGAGAACGTCTGCAGTAAGACACGTGCGTAGATATTGCGTTTCAAGGGGTAGAGAGATGCAGGCAAATAAAATGCGCAAGAGGCCTTGAGCATCAAGAAGGAATTCAGCGACCAGGAATTTGGCAAAGAAGAGAGCAGGTATAAGAATTTATATACCAGCAGAAACTCCAGATACTGGAGAAGAAAAAAAGGAAGGACATATTGAATGGCCATTCGGGAGGCCGTCATGCAGTGCCGCTGAGCCCCCAACTGCCCCGAATAAGGTCAATAAATCAGTCATGTCTCCGTGGGTGTCAATAAACCACTGTTGCTGAACAGCCTTGACGCAGCGTGAATGCATCTTCAGTCTCACTCCTTGCATCTTCCCATCCCCCGAATAAGAAAACAAGGGGCTGAATAAGCAGAGTAAAAGAAAAGCGCACTGAAGACTAGGTGTGGACCCAGCGGAAGACACGCGCGCTAAACCGCATTGGGGTATCAATAGGCCTTCCTCCATCAATAGAATCTCAGGAACTTGACCTGACGAGCACTTCGATCAGCGTATTCTGTGAGTAAACTGCTGGTCCGTTTGTACACTCTTTGTAAACCGGGCTGCTGCAACAGGGCGTTTACAGTGGTTGGGCGTGCAAGACAAGGAAGAAGAAAAGGTTGTGTCTGAAGACAGCCCTTGAGCGCGGGGATGGCTTCCGGAAGCCCAGTCCCCCGCCCCGGGGATGGAGCTATTTGCTACAAACACATCAAGGATTCTTCAGGATGCGGATGAGCCGGACACGAGGATGGTGCCGTCGACAAGCCCTCGACACCTGCAGCTATCATGGCCCGGGTGTATCATTAAGCAACTTCAGCCTCGAGGCGTCTTCAAAGGTCTAGACACGCTGGTCTATAATATACGTAGTAACCAGAATGGATCTGATACTGTTCCTGCACATTGAAGGTCAGTTGGTACCATTTATCAAAGGGATCACATATATATCCCATAACGTTTGCGTGAAGGTACATGTATGTGAGTCGAACTGCATATGTGACTATTGCAGATCATAGAAACAATTCTCCCGCCAGAGCCTCTGTATAATCAATGACCCCATGAAAAGTGTCCCGTCGTTTGATTCTTTGAGGGATGACCCGGGGCCGTGAAGATGGCTGGCTTAGCCGGGGTTGTATTCTGGTCAACCTTGCATCAATAAGGAAAGTTAATTTTATTTGCGTTGACCTCCTCGCCCAGGCCAGTCCCATTTAAAAGGTGTTCCTCATGCTATCTCCCGAGATAAGTATAAAAAGGAGTCCGAAGATATCAACTGGCATGGTAGAATATCAGCGTCCGGGCGGAGGCAGCTGAGAGCGACAGGCCTAATTTCTTATCCCTATAGAGGGAAGTAAATACGAAGTTCAGGATTTAGCAAACAAAATTATGTTTCTAGACCCAGGGGCTCAGGCCTTATCCAATTCTTGAAGCTGGCGTAGTGGTATCATCGTCTTCCATTTCCTCAACCGATGTTATTGCTCTCTTCACCATTTCGGCATAATCAAGTTGTCTTGCTAACTCATCAGATGACATAATATCTCCCTTGGTCAAAGCGCATAAAGTTCTTACGTCATACTGATAAAAATAAACTTGAGAATGCCAAGTTATGCCAAGAGATCTTGATCATCTACTGAAGAAGGAACGACTCCGCAAAAACCGGGATGGACTATATGTCAATACCAACTATCATGAAGGATGTGAGCTTGGAGCGCGAGAAGACCGAATTTCATTGATTTGGGGAGTGTTTGTGTTGAGGCAGATTTTGCAGAACGTATCCAGATTATACCAACTATGAACCATGGTTGCTCTATCCACGGAACGAGATCAGGAACCATCCACCTCCCTGGCGACCTCGGGTGTCAAGACACGGGCCACAGAACAACTTCGGCATAGACAAAATGCATCTGCTAGATCAAATCTGGATGTCTCTGCACCATCAAACTCTCCTCCAGGCAAGCTCCGGCGCAACTCAACGTTCTCGGACACTGTCACTGAGACCCGTCGGTCTATAAAGTCATCAACAGACGATTTATTTTTTCCTCGCGCTAGCAACAGTATGGGACACGCCAGTTCCGGCAATACGGACTCCCACTGGCATTCAAGCCCCCTTGTGTTAGCTCTTCTACCAGGCCTAGGAGGGCTTCTCTTTCACAATGGAGCTGCGGTCTTCACCGATGTCGCCTTGCTATCTATTTCAGCAGTCTTCTTAAACTGGTCCGTTAGGCTACCATGGTGAGGCACCTCCCTCTTAGCAGAATATTTTCAAGCATATTGCGTTTTTAAATTAACACCAGATAGGGAATGGTACTTTGCCGCTCAGGAGAGAGTTCAGCTAGCGACTGACGCCTCTGGCGGCGAATATTTAGATGATTCCGATACGGAGAATTGCGTTCCCCAGGACAAGTCAGTTAATGGGGAAGATTCTCACTCTTTGCCGCCCCGAAAGGCATCGGCAATAGCATGTCAAAACGCGAAATCTGAATTGCATATCCACGAACTTTCAGCACTTGCATCATGTTTCCTATTCCCCGTTTTAGCAGCATACCTTCTGCATTCTATCAGGTTTAAGCTATCACGCCCATCCGAAGGACTAGTTTCGAACTATAGTCTCACACTGTTCCTTCTTGCAGCCGAAATACGCCCCGTCTCGCATTTACTCAAAATGGTGCAAGCCAGAACCCTCTACCTACAACGTGTGGTTGAATGTAGCCAATCAAGGAGCCTGAGCGACAAGGTTCCTGAATCGCATGCAATTATTGAGCTTTCAAAACGACTGGATGAGTTAGAATCCCGTTTCTCGACAGCGAGCCTAGAGCTTAGTTCCGTTGAAGAAAGTCAGAGCAATTTTAGGCCTCCTAGGGAACTTGTTGAGGAGGCGCGAAAGGCTATGAAAAGTGACATATATACCCTTGATAAGTTAGTTCGCAGCCAAGAGAAACGTTATACCGCTATCTCAACCAAGTTGGATGCACATATACGCACCGTAAACAGATATATGGTGGAGCTTAATCCGCTTATCACTTCACGGAAGCAAGGGAGATTGGAGCTCCATAGAGGACCCAATTATTCTTTGAAAAGTATAATACTTACTGTTTTGTCTTTCGCTACTTTACCCTTACGGATCGTTTGGTCCATGGTCAAACTACCCATACACTCCTTTGCGTGGATATACCACGGTCAGAATACAAGTTAGGTGCGTGTAAATAAGAGAAGAAGAGGAGCGGCAGTATAGGGAGTATTATCCCAATAACGGATTGAATTTATTGTGCGTTTGGATTATAGCCTTTGTCTACCTCATAACCCTGGGTAAAGGTTTTCGGCTGCCCAGTAGATTCCTGCTTGCGACTCCATTTTCATATTGCCATTCGCATATCTAATTAAAGCTTTAGCTTGACATCATAAATGTATATAAATCCAAGGTTGCTATTAAGTGCAAAAGGTAACATAATCTTTATACACAATGTATAAACTCCAAGTACCCGGGTTTAACTGGTATCACTATACAAAAAGGGTGTTATAACCCCTTTCTTTCTTTCTTCGAACAATCTCCTGTCTTTATCCTTTTCCGGTAACGGAATAGAAGAAGAAAACATTACAGAAGCAAAAAGAGAGGCATATGCATCATTAAGAGCTTCTCTTCTGGTAACTGATGGATTTTTCCGCGGTACTGATAGAGAGGGATTTGCATCACTATTTCCAGGTAGAGTACTGTTTCGGCCTCGCAACCGGAATGGGAACGAAAGAGACGGTTGCCTACTTAGGAGGGTAGACTGAGCTGCAGGAGCGGGTGTTGATGGCTGTTTTGAACTGGTTGCAGTAGGAGCTGATGGTGGCTTTGCGGGAGAAGACGTAGCAGAAGGTGTAGGCGTCGGTGTAATCGGGGCTATTTCGTTTGCGATACGATTCAGCATGAAGGTGAGAAAAGTGAAGGAGACACTGTGGGAAGGTGATGTTGAGAGGGTCTCTAGTATTGATGACTGCATCTGTTCGCTGGATGGAGGTTCCTGTTGCCTTGATTTGTCTCGTAGAAGCTTCAGTTGCTCATCTAGAGCACACCACAGCTGTTCAGTAATGATACCATCACGAAGAGACCGAAGGAAAGTAATCAGGGTCTCAGCAAGCAGCTCCGTGCGGTATTTCCATGGGAAATTTGGAGGAAAGCGTTCAGAAAATGGACTATTTGTATCAATTGCTTCCCTCACATCGATAAGCAATTTCTCTCTTTCCTTGGTATCGTTCAATGACCATGTCTGTGAATTAAATGGCCACCCAGGCTTCTTATCAGTTTCCCATGGAGCCTCATTACTTTCAGGGTTTGTGTCATTGGAAACCATGCCCCATTCAGCAACGGCTCGTTCAGTATGCTCAGCTATCGCCTCTGTTAATTTGAACAGCTCACGAGGACCGGAGGATCGAGAATTGGTTTTATCCTCTCCGGAAGAAGTGGGCGATACACTTATAGCACGTACACCATCTTCAGGTATGCGAGTAAGCTCTTCTAAAGAGAAGCCAAAGGACGTAGGTAACCAATGGCCCTGTATAGATAAGAAATGATCCCGTCCATCGTTCACACGTAATACAAGGATATCATCCACTTTAGCCTTGCCCTCATTGAGTTCTCGGACAAAGTCGATATCAGATATACATAATGTTAAACGGACATTGGCGGAGTCGCCAGGTTGGAAGGTGTATTCCTTTGGCAATATATCATCCTGGTTAGAATTATTGGCGGGCCAATCAACGCGGATGTTTAACCAGGGAGGAGACGAATAGGGGCCAGCTGTATCAATAGAAGGATTATAATGGAAAGCAAAAGTAGCCGGAACACCGCCTGTATTTGCAAGGGTCAGACTCCGTGAAGTGGGATCACGATATCTCACCTTGCCAAAGTGAACAGTATCTGGCTGAGTGGAAATAGCAACACCACCAGAGCTACTTCGGCGGGCTTCTGACTGCTGGTCCACCACGATAGTTATATCAGGGCGGGCTTCGTTCTCGGCCTTGTCTAGTTCTCGGGCAACTTCCTGATGAATCTTCGTTTTCAACGACGGAATGACCACATCAAGTGTGACATCGAAATCGGCGTGAATAGGTTTGTGATCAGAAGAAACAATATGCTGATGGGACGTATACTCCAGGAGAGAGATAGTATTCCCACCCGTGGTATCATTATTCGTTGCATCTTCTCCTATATCATCCTGTTCAGGGTCGTAGTCTGCGGCATCTTGATCTGGATCATAATCAAAAAGGACATTATCATCTTCGGCAGCTTTATCCAAGCCTAGAGACTTTATTTCCTCGTCTCTCTTCTTCGCTTCTTCCGCCTCTTTAACTTTTTTTATATGTCTCATATGGTCGGACTTGGTTCGAAACAGAATTCGATCACACCAACTTGGACTGCGTTGCTTCTCACTTGAGTCGAATACCCCTATCCGTCCAACATCATACTTATAAGTAGGCAAGAACGTTATTGGCCCTTCTCGCCAGCCCTGATGAAATGATTTTCCACTCTTTTGTTGAGCTTGAAGCTGATCGTGAGGTAAGAGTGACGAAAGTGTGTTCAATAGGGAGGCTGGATCCTCTGCTGGATCGAGGTCATTATCCTCCATTTGTATACCCTCCTCTGATGGCAACGAGGTGATGTCGCTTTCAAACGATTTCCGAGATTCCTCAGGCTGGCTGTTACCGATACTCTGTAAAGGGGTGTTCTGTTTTGCTGGGCGGAATTCGTCTTGAACATGTAAATGGAGAAGGCGGCGAACATCACCCCCAGGGATACCATCTAGACGGTAATTCAGATCTCCAAACCAAAAGCTGAACTCCTCTTCCCCAAATTGATGATTTATTTCCCCGGAGATAAGGTCCTGTTCTTCGATAGGGGCAAAATTTGAACGAGAAATTATCTGGGCCGCATCCCAGTTCCTTCGTTCTAGATTGGCCTTTTCTGCCCCAGCTGCAAGATGGGAATTGACAAATACCAACCGTGTTGTTTCTCCGATGACGATACGTGTTGCAACTGCCCCTTTATTGCCAGTATAGCCTAGAAACCCTGTCCCAACACTGGTGGAACTTACTGATGATATATGAGGTTCCAGAGACGGCGCAGCGTAAACCAGTAAAAGCATACCCACGAGTTGCTGGGAAGCTATGCAAGTATATCCTGGGGGTAACGCCTCTTGGAGTGCTGTGTTCCATTTGGCAGAAGGGCCAGGATCGACATATGTCTTGATAGCCTCTGTAGCAGAGGCCACATCCACAATTTCCTGCAGTCCTAGGATATAGAGATCTGGTCCTTCCCCATAGGCCTTGAACGAAACCGAATGGGCTGCCTCATCGTCTGAGACATCCCCTCTATCACCGAAACTATTAACTCCATTCTCAGTGGCTTTTCCTCCGGCAACCGGGTCCGAAATTAGCCAACTCTTAAGGTCCTGTTCTGGTCCAGACAGAGCTGCAACGTTCCATGATCCGATCCTTATTCTGAGCTTTCTCCGTCGAATATATTCGGACTTCCGAGATCGAACTCCAGCGGACAAAGACAAGTCATTCAACGATACCACGACAGGCTCCTCAAGTTGCGGATCAGGGAATGTACCAGGCAAACCCTCGACATTCGTAGCAGACGTGGTGTTGGGAACAATCTGAGCCTCATCCTCGGGGACCGCCATCTTGCTCTCTCCTTAGAACCCGCGCACCTGTAGCAAACGAAAGCGAAGAACAGTTTCCTCTCATCTCACCGCGAGACAGATGTTCTTATATAGGCATATATATGTCGGTGCCTGTCCAAGGCGGTTAACAGAAGAGGGCTTGTGATCGGCTACTGGTCAGCTGCGCCCAATACCAGTGGAGTAACTGGGGAAGCCAGGCGCAGCAGGGCAGACAGCTCCAGGTCCACGAGAACCGGCGAATCCAGCAATGCAACCAAACTCGAGGCTCTTTACGAGACCATGGGCAGATCAGCCTCCTTGGTGGATTTATATTGTGTATATGGCTGGAGAGACGTCAGTTGTATGCAGATCGAGGCGGAGGATGAGGTGGGATGTTGCCTGCAGGAGGAAAGTTAACGTTATTTATGTACGATCCAGAGGCTTGGCGGACAATGGCCAGAAACGGCAACTTTCGACATCCTCACAAAGAACACCGCAGACAATACAAGCTAGAGGACCATACTTACAAGCTCGCTGTTTAACCAGCAGTATATCTACGACTAGCTCAGCTATCTAAAGCACCCAGAGATAAGCTGGACACTTCAGAACGCCATTACCACACCTCCAGAGCTCAAAGATGCTACAATACACAGCCACGCCTGTAGAGGCAGCTCCTGCACCCGCAGCGGGACCAGCACCACCAACAAGGACAAACGCAGAGATCAACCTTTCGGTTCTCCGACGACACAACCCATCCATATCCTCCATCCTCTCCCTCGCCCAATACGCAGTCATCTACCATTTCAACGCAACAACACAGCTATGGGAGAAGATCGGAGTGGAGGGGACATTATTTGTCTGCCAACTTACCCCAGGCGAACTAGGCGAGGACAGATACAGCGTGTTCCTACTAAACCGGCGAGGAATGAATAACTTCGACGTCAAGCTTTCGACCGGAGACGACATTAAGATCACGGAGGACTACGTTATTTTGAAAGTGGACGAGCAGGACGACAGCGCTCCCCAGACACCCGAGAAAGGTGCAGTGATGACTTCACCTGGTATAAAGGCAATGATATATGGCATTTGGATCTTTTCGGAACCGCCTCCGAGCTCGACTGCAGATGCAAGGACGCTGAATGCACAGGTTATTAAGGAATGCGCGGTATATGCGGGGGAGAGCAGGAAGGCTGCGGAGGAACGACTGGCTGCGGAAAGAAGGCAGGCTGCTGCGCAGGGTAGTTATTATCCTAGTGATACGGGTGATGGGGAAGATTTGCAGGGCGGAATACCCATGGGCAGACAGATTTCGCTCAAGGAGCTGTTTGGACAGCAGAGAGCGCAGGATGATGAGTGGAGTGTCAAGGTGCATAGTCCTGGCGCCGAGAATGAAGGGCCGCAACACACATCGTTCCCTCTACCTCCTCATCAGCCTGCGCCTCCACTTCCCCAGCAACACGGAGGATGGAACCAGACAATGCCGTTTCCTTCGGGCGGGAATAATGTGTTGGGAGAACTATTCCGCAGCGCCAGTATGAACTACCAGAGAGGAAATAACAGCTAGCCTTGTAAAACATTTTTTTTTTTGATACCCGCATGTTGCTTCTTGGTTTTTTAATTCTTGCATTATTAAAGGTGTTAGGGGCATAGCTCTACAGAATTTTTTTTTTTTTTTTTTTTTTTTTTTTTTTTTTTTTTTTTTTTTTTTTTTTTTTTTTTTTTTTTTTTTTTTTTTTTTTTTTTTTTTTTTTTGCCTTTCCCACCACAGTCTAACTATCTGTCTATCCCAGACTCCTGAACTATATCTCTAATAAACCGACCAACCTTCTTCGCCATAATCTCATTATGTCCTAGATGAAACTGTTAGCTCCTAGCACTACTCGGTTTCCCGTGGTTGCCACTCACCTATACAGAACCCATGAACAACCCCATCCTCACACACCATCAGAGTTGGAGCTGAACCATCTCGTTGCTCTCTTGTTTTGGACCGAATGATGTCTTCCCTAGTCACCTCCGCTACCCAGTGGTCATTCCGGCCGAAGTAGAAAATCATCTTCGCAAGTCTGTCTCCGGAGGCATGTGTAGGGCTACTAAACCCCCATATCTCATCATTCCACTTATCAGCAGATATTTCCCTCATTTCATCCGCAGCCATATATCTGTGGATTTCCATTAGCTAGGTATTCTCAGAAATAAGTGGTGGAAAACATACAATGCCTGTCTGACGATATGAGCGTTTCTCAGCATTGATACGGTCGTCTCGACGGCCTGCTTGCGAGGATTCCTCATGACCCGGCTTACGACGGCGTAGAGTAGCATCTCAGGGAGTACCAGGACAAGCAACCGTGCAAACAAGCTCACTAGGAGAGGTAGACACGGGATATACAGTAATTTCTATCCCGATCGCAAGTAATTAGCATCGCCATGGGGTTCTAGATGAACCGGTAGACGTACCGTGAGTATCCTTCCGTTAGGAGACTTCGCTATATCCACGACCGTAGGAAACAGCATGATACCGCCAATGATATCAAGACCAAGGCCGTTGGTATCTCCATTCCCATTGGCGTCACGAGTGGTCTGGAGCTTCCTCTGGAGACCGGCCTTCTCCCTTCTGCGCCGCATGATTTCCATAGCCATGTAAGCTCCCACCGAATGGCCCATGACAATAACATTTGCTCGAGGTCGTTCGTCCAATTTGTGTTCTCGCATAGCGGCGTCCTGCCATGCGTGAACGAAGGATTCTAAATCCTGCTCCATAAAGGATATTTGATCATTCAAGCTGTAGAGAGCGGTGTTGGCGGCTGAGTTGCTGGCTGGCACCTCGAAGCCTCCCAGGCTTCTTCCGCGGATGATATATGAGCCATTGCCGTTGGAAGTGGCATTGGCCTGGGATAACTCTGACGAGAGCAGAGAGAAGAAGAGATGGTAGTATGCTATTAGGCCTGGGTTGCCTGAGATGAAATATATCAGTGTAGTGGATGGGGAGAGCGAGCTGGTTCCCCCGCCCGCGCTTCCAGGACTGACGTGTGATAGGAAGGAATTGGGCGTGATGTGAGGGTTGAGGTTGATGTTGATGCCGGGAGACATGCTGCGTGGCTTGAAGAGGCGGGTTATACAGAATATGCTCTTCATCTCATGCCGTCATGCATGACCCGCCAGTCGAACAGCCAGCCGCGGCGTTTAATGCTGGACGTTGCAAACCCGACGGGAAGCTGTGGAGCCGCATCAAACTCAACCTCAACCTCAACCCAACACCTCTATCTACAACCGCACAAAGAGGAAAAAAATATCAGAATAAAGATCTCTATTATAACGTCTGATCTGCCTTTTTCATCCAGCAGCCAATTGAACAAGCTCGCCCGGTTCGAAATCTTGCATAACAAACAGCAAGGCGACTTCCGCCATTGAAACTGCCTGCCTACCAAATTCAAACCCCATAACTATCAAATACCGTTCCATTCCCATCCGTTCCATCCCATAGACAGGTAAACATACTCCATCACACCATCCCAGCCCATTCCCATCCCCATTCCCAAACGATCTGAAGAACAAATTACAACTCAATCGATCGGATAACAAAACAAGCAAGAAAGGAAATGCAAGCAGGCAAGCAAGCTAAATGGACAAGCAAACGAACTGAACTGAACTCCAGGGCCGGAAAGGAGGGCCCGAGTGGGTTTTTTTCTTCTCTCTCTTATTTACCGTACAGAATGGATGGGTTAGTGAGTGAGTGGTGGGAAGCTGAGGCTGGCCCCGTAGGTCAGTCGGTAGGTAGGTAAGATGCTGCGTAGAGAATAAAGGGGTAGGGGGTAAGGATATTATATGGAGACGAAACCGGAGCCGAAACTGGAGTGAAGAGGGGGATATATCGGAGCTTTTGGGTGAGAGGTTAGTGCAACTCGGTTTCGAATTCGGTCGGTCGTTCGTTCGCGGGTATGTATGTATGTAACGCAGAGTCGCAGCAAAAACACCTCCCTTTATCACTCTATAGATCAACTTTTTCAGAACTTTTCCGCATATTCTCTTGCTTTAGTCGAATTTTATTCTTAGCTCGCTGTGGCTGTGGCTGCTACTGGCGTAGTCGTGGTTGTTGGAGTGGCACTGGCACTGGCACTGGCAGTGTCAGGAAGAGGCTCATTATGCTCCGTGCTATCTTGTGAACCACCTCCTCCGCTATCGGCTGAGCCAGTATCAGCACCACTGCCATCACTTACGGCTGCAGTAGTTGATTTTGTGGTGTTATCAACTATTCCTGCACCGTCGGTATGTTTCTCCCCGGCTGGCTCCGGCTTTGACTCCGAATTGGAACCGGTTGAGTTCTCCTGACTCTGATTCTGACTCTTGAGCGCTATCCGTGTAGAAGGCGAGACATTCAGCGTAATTGCAATCTTCTTCCCGGGTGTCTGTGGCTCCTTTGAACCATCTTTCTCAGCTCCGTTGCCTTTCGAGTTCGGGCTGGGACTCGGACTCGCGCTTGGACTCCGCCCCTGGCCCTTTTTCGTTCGTAAACTGCCGTTTCCATTCCCATTACCACGCTGGAATAGGGGTGAGACGGAGTTTGATGGGTTGACCGAGTTGCGCCGCTTGGAGCCTGAGGAGAGCTTGATAAGTTCATCGTCGTCATCATCCTCTTCTCGACGACGCTTTTCAGAAAACGAGAACCGCTCGATTTTCTGCTGTTGCTGCTGTTGCTGTTGTTGCTCTTGCTCTTGTCCCTGCAGCTGCGGTGTTTGCGCACTTGCATCCTGCTCGTCCATGGCGTCATCGTCGTCGTCGTCGTCATCAGGGTAATCGACAAGCGGCTTGCTGGGGGTGCCATTGGGGGTGCCGGAGTTTATATTTTCGGGCTTAACCTGTGATGAAAGTGTTGGCATGAGCTGCACAGTTCTGTGTCCGGAGCCTCTGCCACAAGAAGTAGCAGCCGCAGCCGCAGCCGCAGCAGCTACTTCGCCCTCCCAAGAGAAGAATCCTACCTCGTCTTCCTCATCATCTGAGGTCTCAAAGTACTCCTCCTCCGCGGCGGTCAAGTCGCGAACACCCATTGCACCCCAGCGTTGGGCGCCGCCACTGATGATCATGCGTGTGGGCGTTGACGAGGCTTCGTCCTGGCTGAACACGGTGCTTGCTGCATCACTGCTTTCAGCACCGGTGGCAGCGTTGGTTCCGTACCCTTGCATCTGGTCGTAGCGCAGGATCAGGTTCTGGAAGGTATCTACGTAGGTGATGTTCTGGATCTTTTCGCGGTAACGTTCGACGACATGGCCGATGATGGGCTTGATGTTTTCGCGTTTGATGAATTCGAAGAGGTCGAGGCAGGCGGAGTTGAGGAGGTTGTCGCGGGGCATGGTTTCGTAGACGATGTTGAGGATGAGGTCGAAGGTGTTGTTGTGGGTGAGTTGTGCGTGGTAGAAGGTGTCGTGGAGGCTGACGAGGGTGCGGAAGAATTTCAATGCCACTGCAGCCGGTTAGTCTGGATTATATTCGGGTTAAAATATAGGCTGGCGTACTTAGTTTGAGGTGTTTCTGGGTGACGGTGAAGAGCTGGGCGACTCGCGGGATGAGGGATTCTTCGCGGATGAAGGAGCGGCTGCGGATGGGATGCTGGCGGACGAAGAAGGTGAGAATCTCGACTAGGTGAGCGAATAACGACACCTGTTGGAACGACAATCCGGAGACTAGACATATAGTCAGTACATGTATATATATAGATATAGATATATACGTATGGTTAGATACGTACGGTCTTCTTGTTCGGCGAGGTGAGTCAGGGGAGCAAAGAGCCTCTTGGCGGAGCTGTCGAAGTGGTTCTGCATGAAAGCGTCAGCAACAGGGTGTGGTTGTATCTGAGCCTGGCCCTGGCCGCCCTGCTGGCCCTGACGCATCTTTACTACCTCTCCAGAGCGCAACTCTTGCATCTGCGGTTGTGGATCCAGCAAGACCTTGAGAGCGTCGGCCAGCTGGTTCTTGACGCCCAGGTCTGCCTCGGAATGTAGCAGGTCGATGAGGGTGTCTGTCAACGAGACCTTCTTGTCGGTAAAGGCCTTGAGCATGTATCCGCGCATGGTGATGGGGTCATGGTCGAGCAGGACGACTAGAATATCGATGCCGGTAGTTCTGAGGGCGGGAGTAGGATGTTTGACGGCGAAAGCAATGACTGAAAACAGGCCGTGGTTGATCAGGTTTGCAAACAGGTTCCCGCGGGACTGGGCCTGGAGGTTCTTCGCAATGCTCATGCACTGGTGGAGGAACTGGACGGCGTCTTCACGTTTGCGAGCATCGGCGGGCGGGGACTCGGGGGCGAAGAGGGAGAAGAGTTCGCAGAGGAAGGCGGTGTTTGTCTGCAGGTGCTGGACGATGTCGACCTGGTTGAAGAAGATGAGGGAGTTGAGGACGGAGAAGGTAGGGTCGTCGAGGATGCGGGCGAGGACTACGTCTTTGAGGTACTGCAGGCGCCAGGTGTGGCGTATCTTGCGCAGGATGATGGGATCTTTGATGGGGACTACTTCCTTGTAGCGGGAGCGGTCGTTGAGGTACTGGCGGTGGTTTGCCTTGTGGGTGGGGAAGTCTGGGTCGTACTCGAGGGCGCCGACGACGGCGGAGATGACGGGATCGGAGACGACCTGTTCGATGATGGTGTTGTCGTTGAGCAGGATGAGGGCCTTCATGATGTTGCAGAGGCGGTGCAGGTCTGCGAGCCCCTCGAGGTCTTCGGCGACGGCGACCAGGGGAAGCAGCTTGAGGATGTACTGTTCCTGGATGACGAAGCGGGCGATGGCGTCTCTACCTGGCTGGGTAGCACTGGCGCCTACGATGAGGTGTTCGATCTCTGCGAGGTTTGTGAGGTCTGGCGGCGGGAGCATGATAGCGCTGGGGAGGCCGTCCATGGCGTCGTCGGACAGCGAGTCGTCTTCACATTTTTAGTTATAATCCATACACAAGAGGGTAAAAGAGCAAACGTACCAGCCCCGAGGGGAGCGAGCTGCTGCTGAACATGGCGCACGAAATCCCTACTCTAGAGCGTCAGCTGTCGCGTGTCCCTGGATATATGTATGTATGTATGCCTGGTGTCTGCCTGGATAGAGAGAACGAGGGAGTCAAAAAAAAAAAAAAAGTCCGCACCATATCACTCCGCAGCCCTCTGCCTCCTGGAAGCTCAGCGCCATGTCTGTCCCGTTCTGCTCGGTCCATACTATCAGTGTTTCTACCAGCAGTCAGCCCAGAGTCCCTCGTAGAAACAGGAGTAAAAGGGCCTACCCTGCTGCTTCTGGTATCCGTCCTCGCGCGAGATGCGAGTCTCCAGCAGCATGCGATCCGGCTGGTCCTCCGACTGCACCAGTATCTTCGGCTCATCCTGTGCACGTCAGCATCTCTTTTTCTTTTCTCTATATAAAGGCAAAAGGTACACACGTCTGTTATCTGGCCGGTGCAGAAGCCCGTCCCCCGGTCGAACCAGTCGTTGTTCCGCAGCTCGTAGACCTTGACTCTCTTGCGGTCGTTCAGCGGCGGCACCGGGAACGACATGGCCATGGCCGCTGCAGGAGAGCGCTGCCCTCCGTGAGTCTCTCTCGCGTCTGCCTGCCTGTCTCTTTTTGCAAGTGTCTGTCTCTTGCGGTGATGCCAGCGATGCTGCAGGTGGTGAGTGTGGGCGACGCGCAAAACTCTGCCTCGGCTGGCGCAAGCGCGGTGCGGCGGGAAGGGCGTCTAAGAAGGAGAATAAGAAAGGAGAAGCAGGAGGAGAAGGAGAAGAAGAAGAAGTCGACGGCCGCCTGAGTGCGTTTATGACGGGGGATGTCGAGACGGCGGAGTCGGTGGTGAAGCTGGAGGTTAGTTGGAAGTTCAAGTGGTGGAAGTTGAAGATGACGAAGAAGAAGCAGAAGAAGCAGAAGCCAAGGGAGGAAGACGAAGACGAGGCCAGCCAGCAAGGGATGGCCACGCGACGGCGAGCTGCAGGGCTAGTCAGGGAAGATGCAGCAGAGAAGAGGAAGAAGAGGAAGAAGAGGAAGAAGAGGAAGAAGAGGAAGAAGACAGAAGAGGGTGAAGATGAAGACGGTCGAGACGTCGAGATGGCGCTTTTGGCGACGCTGGCGGAGTCGCTAGTCCAGTCTATGACCACGACGAGACTCGGACTCTGCTATTCTACGGTCAGACTATTCTATTAAGAAGAAGAAGAGAAGAAGAGAAGCTCTTGCTGGAGTCTTGAGTCTTCACTGCTGGTTCTTCTTCTTCTCCTTCCACTGATTCTTCTACTTCCTACTCTTACTTCTCTCTGCCTTCAACTGCGCTCTCTCTCTCTCTCTGCTTCTTCTTCTCTTCTTCTTCTTCTCTTCTTCTTCTTCTCTTCTTCTTCTTCTCTTCTTCTTCTTCTCTTCTTCAACTTTACTTTTTCTTATTTTTACCTTTTTTTTTCTTTTTTCCTTTTTTTTCTGTTTTTTTTTTTTCTTTTTTCCGCTGTCGACTTTTCGATCTCGCGCAGACGCAGGACTCGGACTTCAAGATATCAAACAGACGAACAGACAGACGAAGACGAAGACGAAGAGAGACCTCGTATCCCTCTCTGCGGCCTCCTCAGCGACAGCCTTGACTCGCTAGCAGCCTCGAGCAGACGACTTCTGGGAGTTTTGCGTCTGCCTCTGCCTATAAAGCTCCCTCTCATCCGCCGCCACCACCACCACCACCACCTACACCCTCGATATATCACTATAACGATATCAATATAATTTAATATGGCTGAAGACACGATTGAGTCTGCGCGGTCGACGCCGTCAGAGGGAGCTTCAACTACCCGGCCGCTGATGAAGAGCGCCGATGCCTCTGTCCAGCCGGTCGTCACTGATGCCGATGCTGATACCGACAGCGACAGCGAGAAGAAGAGCTACTTTGCCTACTTTCGCACTCGCCAGTTCTACATCGTCCTGCTCCTGGGGTATGACTCTATCTAGCTTGCTATTCTACCTATATATTAAGAAGAGAAACTGACAAGATAGCCAAATTCTCGCTCTTTGCATCACCGCGACCAACACCTTCTCGGGCCTGCTCTCGTCCGCAGGAACCTCCATCCCGGCCTTCCAGACGCTCTTCAACTACGTCCTGCTCACCCTCGTCTACACCTCCTTCACCCTCTACCGCTACGGAGCGCGCAAGTGGTGGTCCCAGCTCGTCCTGCGCGACTGGTGGAAGTACCTCATCTTCGCCTTCTGCGACGTCCAGGGGAACTACTTCATCGTGCTCGCATACCGCTACACCACCATCCTCAGCGCCCAGCTCATCAACTTCTGGGCCATCGTCATGGTCGTCCTCATCTCCTTCACGCTGCTGCGCGTCCGCTACCACTGGGCCCAGTACGCCGGCATCCTCGTCTGCATCGGCGGCATGGGCGTGCTCTTCGGTTCAGACCATATCACGGGTGCCAACAGCGGCGGGCCAGAGAAGTCTCGCGGCGACCTGATCAAGGGAGACCTGTTTGCCCTGCTTGGAGCTACCTTCTACGGCCTCACCAACGTCGCCGAGGAGTATCTGGTTAGCAAGAGGCCGATGTACGAGGTTCTTGGCCAGCTGGGCATGTACGCTACCGTCATCATGGGCGTGCAGGCGGCCATCTTCGACCGGGCCTCGTTCCAGCACGCGGTCTGGAACGGCGCGGTGGCGGGCTACCTGGTCGGCTATACGCTGTGTCTCTTCCTGTTCTACAGTCTGGCGCCATTGCTCTTCCGCCTGGCCAGCGCGGCATTCTTCAACATCTCCCTGCTGACCAGCAACTTCTGGGGCGTCGTGATCGGGGTCAAGGTGTTTGGCCTGCGCATCCACTTCCTCTACCCCATCGCCTTTGTGCTCATCATCATCGGCCAGTTTGTCTACTATCTCGGCAGACAGGTGCTCGGCGAGGCCATGAAGCCCTGGCTGGGCGAGAACCAGGAGCAGGGCGTCATCGGCATAGGCACCGCCAGGAGGGGAGCCCATGACACTAATGCCACTGCTGCTGCTGCTGCTGCTGCTGCCAGCGCTGACTCTAATGTCTAATGATCCATGCATACATACATCTCGGTACATATCATCATCATCATCATATATATCATGAATGTCATGAGTTTGGATACTTACTACATAGCTAATACAAAAAAGTCATTTCGTTCATTCGTTCAGTCATTCCAACAAACCGCAAGGCTGACAGGGCAGACTTGTAACCGAGAAGAAGCAAAGCAAGACAGTAGACTCGCTTGCAAGTAACAAATTGAACCTCCCGTCCCCGTCCCTTAGCAAAAAAGAAAGGAGAAGCCATAGGGTATTTATTACAACTTAGCACACTGCACACGAGTCAGATATGAAATGAAATGCATTAAAGAGTAAACAGAAGAAGGGGGAAAACTCCGGAATGATAATAAGCAACGAAAGCAGAAGAAAAATAAGCAGTCCAATTCCCAGGCTTTCCAGCCAGCCAGCGTAGACAAGTCGAAGTTGCGCCTGTCTTTTATCTATGGCCCTCACCACCAGCATCCGCAACCGCAACCGCACCCAGGCAAGAAGAACACACACAATCAACACCAGGAAGACAGCAAGACAGAAAAAAAAAAAAGAAAAGGAAAAGAAAAACGAAACATTCCAGGCCGATCCCTTCAACCCTCCTTTCCGATGACAGTATATAAACCCCAACAGACAGACAGACAGATAAAGCAACCAAGAAGGGTAAATGGCGGATTAAAGCGTTGAGTGGACTCCTTTGCATCCCATTGACGTTGAACGAGACGAGATAGTAACCAAGAAGAAGGGGAAGGGGAAGGGGGGGGGAAGGAATAGACAGACCAGAAATGAACCGAAAGAAGCGACAGCAAAAAGCAACCAATTAGTTGAAGTACCAGCAAATAACAAGCAACCGACGACCAACTACCGACCAACAACCAACGACCAAACCGCTGCCTCGGAAGTAGGCAGCATAGCAGTAGAGGAAAAGTAAACGAAGATGACAGAGCGTAAAAATGGTGTGTGTGTGACTGGTAGATCATCCCCAGACAGAAGCCTGGACGCCGAGCTGGTTCTTGCCTCGCCATCCCCAGCCCAGTCCGACGGTGGGGGAGGATTCCTTCATCGACTGGCTGGTGCCGTTATTCCCCGATGCAGATCTGCTGGTTGCTGCCGCGGAACTCGATTGGGTTGCACTGCCGGCTCCCGCGTCCGTGCCGGTGCCGTTCCCGCTGCCGTTGTTGCCGTTGCTGCCGTTGTTGGCGCCGCCGGTAGCACTGGTGGCGGCGACAGTGGTACTACTGCCGATTCCGCCGTCTTCGTTGGGCGAGAAGCCGTAGCTAAGCGGCGAAGGGAGAGGAGTGGTGGAACGCAAGCTGAGAGATGGGTTGGGGCTCTGGTTAGTTGGTGGTTGCTGCTGTTGTTGCTGCTGAGGTTGATGCTGCTGCTGAGACTGCTGCTGCTGCTGCTGCTGCTGCTGCTGCGGTTGGGCAGGACGAGAGCCAATGGGACCTACGCGGGATGGGGAGGAGTCAGTCGTTCCCTTGCCAGTGGGGGAAGAGGTGGGTGGCTGGCTGGGTTCAAAGACACCACCGTACGTCGTCGTCGAGCCCGGGTTGGTGTTGGAGGGCGGAGAAGCCGTTGAGGGAGGCGAGCGCGTGCGAGGAGCTACCGAGCACGGCACGTTGGCTCCCGATGTGGCTTGCTGGGTCTGGCTGTCGGCATGGGGCTGGCCGCCGAGAAAGGGGTCGACGCCTCGGGGTGAGGCTCCGCGGCCGGCGCTGGGGAGGCCTGTCGTCGGGGTGCCGGCGGCCTGCGAGTGGGAGTCGTCGCCTGGGCCGGCACTGGGGGTCTGGAGGGCGGAGTCGTTGCCGTACAGAGCACGGTGCTGGCGGGCAATCAGGTCACGGCGGCTCTCTTCGGTCATGGCCGCTGGGCTCATGGATCGGTCGGATTTGTCCCCTGAGATGTCGGCGAGAAGGCCTTTTTTCCCGTCGAACACAAAGCCAAGGAAGATAAAGATAAGTACAGATCCATATAAAACAATATACAAAAAAGGGAATAAAATAAAGAGAAGAAGAATAAGAAGTAGGTCCGAGATGTAAGGGTTGGTTGGATAGCTTCGCAGCCGTGTAGGAATGAAGGTATGATAACAGTATCACGTACTTCGATTGTATTGCTGTTCTTGGTGGTAATTGCGTAGCTCTCTCTCGCGCTGGGCAGCCAGTCGACGCTTTGCCTGGATCATCTGTTCGGTCTCGTTCGGACGGCCCTGGAAGCGTTGAGCGGCGTAGAAGCCCTGCAGGTTCGAGGCCGAGTGCGGACGCATGGCATCGTAGTCGCCAATTGAATGGTGACGGGACGGTGCCATTGGGCCCATAGCACGGGGATCTGGACATCCAACGCAGATTCATCATTAGCAACCAACACAACCAACTGCCAGCGTCATCTCTTCTAGCCATCCTCGATCGTCATGACTTCGGCACAGACATACCGGTGAAATCATAAGGTCGACCCATCATCATCGGCATCGAGTCCCGACGAGGCAGACCTCCAAAGGTCTTCCCGCTCTTGGACAGGTTATCGATGGCTCGCTCCACCTCTTCATGGTTCAATCCATCACAGTTAGCATTGTCGTTCTATCATCAGCCCTTTTGGCTTAGATCAATATATATGTCTATCCATACCATCGAATTGAGAGGCGAAGGCGTTGGACTCGGGTTCTCTCTGGACGGTCGAGCTAGTGCCTGCATTTCCCCCACCACCAATTGCATCAGCCTCAGCCCGTTCCAAGTTGTCTTCAGAGTTGTTGTGGTAGATGTGGCTGTCTATACCTGACCGTGAAGGGGGCGCCGACGCTTCCCACGAGGCCTGGCGCATGGGAGCCTGCCATCCCTGGGGTTCGTAGTATGCCATGATTAACGTAGGTGGTTGTGGTTGTCTGTGTCTGTTTGGACTCGGTGGTTGCGGCGAGGGAAGAGAATCGAGTTCCAGCGCACTTCTTTTTGCTTATAAATTTCCGGAATCCGCAGGGAGAAAAAATAAAAGGACGACCGACGAGACGACGCAGGAGGGAAAAAGAGAAAGAAAACTGTAGTAAAGAGACGCCGTCAGTTAGGAGGGAGCACTCAGAATTCAGGGGACATTTACTCTCGCTCGAGGGTTAAAATTAGCCTGCCAGGGACAGAGGTCTGTAACCAAGGTTCCAGCGCAGCTTTAAGCTTCCACTGCCGTAGTGAAGACGAGGACGAAGCAGGAGAATCAATTGTAGAGCAAGAGGGCCAGGAAGTCACTCACCAACGACGACGACCCCGTCTTACAAACAAAAAAAGAAAGAAAGGTACCTGGGTTATCAGGGGCCTCGCAAGCCCATGGGGATCCGGCTGGGAGAACTGCGGCGACCAAGGAGCGAGGAGTCCCTTTTTTTTTTGACTGCTCTTCGACGGAGCGAACCGGGAGCGAGGGGACGCAGGAGGCAGACGAGGACGGGTGAGACGCAGCGAGGGGGGCTTTCTAGAGGCGCAGAGACGGCGGAGACGACGCTGAAGGGACGCTGAGCAAAAGGTCGAGGATGAAGAAGCGAGAGAGAGCGAGAGAGAGAAAAGTCGAAGTTGCGGAAGAGAAAAAATTCGTGAGGAGGAAAGAAAAAAACGACTAGAAAATGCGGCAAACGGTCGGACAGAGGGTGGTGTATTGTAATTACGCGAGTTACGCCGCAGAGGGGACAGCTGGACCCCGCGCGGAGGGAGGTGCGGTTACCATACGATACGACTACTGAAACGTCCTAGGGGGCAAGGCCGCGACATTGGATGGAGTTGTAGATACTTGATAGACGGACAGAAGACAACAGGTTATCCAGCTAGAGAGAGAGAAGACGGTGGGAAGAGTAAGTGCTGGGTAACTAGTGTGGAAAAGGCAGAGACAGGGGAAGAGTTGCACAGACACAGCTACGGCAGAGTACGAGGACAGAGTACAGCATCGAAGGACAAGACAGCCGAACCAAGGGACGAAGACGGCGAGGACGATGACAGGAAAAAGGTCGACAAGTCCGCGCAGATTATCTCCAGCCCTACCTCAACCAAAGTCGATCAGATACAGAGATCGGGGGGAGGGTGTTGCTGGTTACATCTCGCCTGTCAGAGGTTCGTCACCCCCCAGAACAGGGAGCAGAAGGAGGCCGAAAAGATGCTTGACATGCAGGTAGGAGACCGTAAAAAAAGGTGACCTGCTCTAGCCGGCTGCAAGGAGGGACCTGGCTTGTCGTGGCCTGGCTGTTGCAGGCCGTCATTCCAGCGCCTTTTCCAGAAGCCAGCTCGCATCACACATATGTTAGTGGCCGCACAGCAGCTAGCTGCTTGGACTGTGACATGATCGAATAGCGTCTTGGGAGGTCCACTGGATGGAATAGACGGACTGCCAGATGGCCGGAGATAGCCTCGACCTTGGAGGCCGGACGGAGCGCGGCAGGGATGGAGATATCAAATTTCCTTCCCACGGAGTGAGTAAGGGCTGAAAGTTGGAGAGCATAAAAGTCGACGATGCGGAGAACAACCCGTATAGTTAAATAACTAACTAGCTAGTCAACGGTCTTTAAGTTCGCCGTTTATCACTATCTTGAGGTCAGCGCGGTATATAAAAGGGCAAGTTCATACAGACATACAGACAGACAGACAGACAAGCCGAGGATAGTCGTTCGGGTCACCAGTTAGTAGCGGCTGATCGACCATGAAGATGATGTGCATCGTGCCAGCGGCACCGGCTCAGCAGTAACCTACTAACTTGGGAGTCAAGCAGATGAATACGAGACGAGATAGCCGTGGCAGCCATAGAAAAAAAACATCAGTCATATGCAACCCTCTCTGACTGAGTTAACGAATCCCAGATATAGGCCATGGATGGGCTCGCTAGCCATCACGATGTGCATACTTTCTCTGCCAGAGGCTGTGTGTGTGCGTGCCTGTATACCATGGGCTGCCATGTGAGAGAAGCTTCTGTTTGCATTTGATATAACCACGAAGTAGATATTGCTCGGGATGCACCGGTTGGGAGACCATGCTCTCTTTCCCCCTTTTACTGTCACTGTCACCCTTTCGCATCTTCCTTGCCCTTTTCCACATCTTCTTTCTCTTATCTCCTTTGCAATGGTTCGTCTCGTCCTGCTCGGGAGCTTACCCTGGTAGCTACTCCACTAGAGTCGGGAGAGACATCCGCCGTCCTGATCATGAATATCATGGAGAGCAAACCAGAGGGTACTCTGTCGCTCTCTACTCCAGCTGGTTCTTCAGTTGGGCCCGAAGCATGTATGTATGTATGAATGCAAGTCAGTATATCGTTTCCGGCCAGGCTAAGGGAACCGGCTGTCCATCCGCTCTTTGTCTAATCGGCTAGTTTTACCTCCTTCTGCTCCTCCCGATAGGAACATGTATGAGGTCTGAAAGGCAAAATATATAAGTGCTTGCTTACTTATATGTGGCTGACCGAGTCCTGGTGCTATTTTGGGCCACCACCATGGACACGGCATGACCTTTTTTTCGCATATATTGCCTCGTGGCGCGGGGTGAGGCTAGTTTATATTGTCTTGATTCCTTGAATGAAGGTTAGTTTAGTTAATTTTGTCTTGTTTGGTTAGTTAGTTTAAGTAGTATATCGATACCGCGTGGACGGATTGTACAGGGATACCTCTTTCGACATAAATTTAAATAATAATGGCTCCTAGTGGGCTGTCCTCTCGCAGATGTACTGTAAGTATACAGGACATCCCGCCTACCCTGGGCCCAAAACCATGATTCTTTGTCCTGTGTATGGTCGACCGGGTAATTTTGGAATGCTTGGAGCGGCCGGAAAATAAGGTTATCCTCCTTTTTTCTTACTATCTGCGTTATAAGTAGCCCGGCTAGATGCATTGTTCATATATAATAAAAAATAGGGGAGGGGGGCCCCATATAGTAGAGTTGCAGTCAAATTCGAGCCCGGCGTTTTACCATGGTGATCAACCGCAGAGGGGGGGGGGGGGAGCAGGCAGTCTGAGAAAGCCCGACAAGACGACCGGAAGAAAGGGAACAAGTTCTCGAAGAAAGAGGAGAAAAAGTCCGGGGTAACTAAAAAAGGGAGAGGAGAGGAAGTCTGAGGCTGATGCAGGATGAGCCAGCCAGCCGTCGAGCCATCGAGCCAGGATTGAGACCGGTGCTCCGTAATCTCCCATGTCTTAATCAACAACGCAGGTGGAACTTGTCTCTTGCACATTTCTTGTCCAGCACGGAAAAGGGGGCCCAGGCCAGCTTAAGTAGATAGTTATAGAGCCGATCCAGTATCTGTCAGACGCTGAGCAGCAGCACATAGGCAGGGAGGGCCGGGCGAAGCCTCCGAGGGCTAACCATCGAGCAGGAGGCGCACATAGTACAGGGAAGCAAACTTCGTCTCGTTTCTTTTTCTCTGAAAAAGCAGTTAAGTCTTCCCTGGTGCATCCCTGGGCCTCGTCCTCTGCCCTATGTCTGTCTGGCTGTCCGTCCGCCTGTCTGTCTCTTCCTGTAGGCGCCTGTCTTGTCCTGTCTCTGGCTGTCGTCTCGTCTCGGCAATAGGGATGTGCGAGCGTAGCATGGCGGACTCCAGGCATGACTCTCGACCAAGGCCATCACACGATGCGAGCAGGCCTCATGCGTCGCCGCTGCTGCTGCTGCTCTTCTTATCGAACCCTCCTCTCCGTCTTATCGTAACTCTCCCGTAGTTTTTCTCTGCTCTGTCGACGGTCTCTGGTTAACTCTCTGGCCGTCAAAGGGCCCATCGTAGTTTGACGTTTGCAGCCACTGGCACCTCCACACATACCCATTTCTCCCCTTCCGCTCTCCCTTCTCTGCCTCTCTTCGTCTTCTCTCAAACCACATCTCTCCATCTCCATCTCCATCTCCATCGTCACCGTTGCCGTCTGCTGTGTCGTCGTCGTCGTCGTCGTGTCGTCGTGTCGTCGCTGTCTACTGCGTCGTGCGTGGGCCAGAGGTTGACCTTCTACGGCCGCCCACTGCGACCAGCCCCGAAGCCCCCTCCCAAACTCGCTCGACTTGACTTTCACTTCGTTCGACTTTCATTCCGCAACTTCAACCTCTCAACTTCCACTCAGCGCTCCGCGAACAGCCCAGCTGCTGCATCCTCTTCACGACCCGCCCTCGACGCCGTCTCCCTGCCCGCACAAAGACCGTTGTCCTCTTGCTCGCGGCTGCTTCTCGCTGTCCTGCATCCCCGGGCTCGATTGACTGCAAATCTAGGTGTTTGGCATTGGCCGCCGGTCTCTTCGCTGCTGCTCACTGCGTTGCATCGAACTGCATCCTTCACGGGCCACCTCTCTCTACGCTTGCTCCTGGGCTGCTGGAGAGTCTAAGCCGTCGTCTTCCTGCTGCAGAATCTCCCTCTGCCAGTGGTGCTTCGCCTGCTGCTTTCGTGTTGCCGATTGGGTGGCTCTCTCGTCTCGAGTCTCCAGCTGCTTACACGCCGTTGAAAGAGGACGGACGCCCTTCCTGATATCCCTCCCCCCCCCAGTCATCTCTCTTTCTACGTGTCCTGTCTCCATCTACCGTCTTCTAGAAACTCTAGTTTTAGCTGGCAGGAGGCTCTTTGGCTTTGCTTGCTCGCTGCAAACAAGATTCCTCGCCTCCCTTTTTTGACCCACGTTCTCCAAATCCCGGGAAAAGGCAACGGAGAAAATTATATATACCGCCAGCCCTTACGACTTGGTCCAGTCCTGACAGACAGGAACAGCCCTATCGAGGAGGAAATTCGGACGTCGGCTGCTTCATGGGAGCAGGTGTCAATGGGCATGTCGCATCTTTACACAGCAAGGGTGACGTCTCCCCGGTAGCGTCAGATCGGTCTCCCACCATGGCCTGGGCTGTGCCGACTGAGATCCCTAATTACCAGCCCCATTTCCGACCTACCCTCCCCGCACAACAGTCTAGCTCTCTCCCGTCTACTCCTTACCAACTCCCTCGTGACCTCCCTTTCCGATCCAGATCTCCTTCACCACACCGCGGCAGTATATCTCCCAGATCTGCGCATTCCGAATTCAACCATACCCTGCCCGCCGTCCGGAAAGAATATGGCGGGGGCTGCAAGTATGAGACGGGCATGGCCCATTTCAGAAGACGGATGCCATACTCCCTTGGCAGTGACATGCTCCCCGACGAGCCTGGACCGCTGAAGGAGAAGCTTGAGCCCGAAAAGGAGGTAAAGCTGAGTAGGGACATCAAGGAGCTCTACCAGAAGCTATTACCGTCTCCAGAAAGCGAAGAAAGAAGGGTGAAGTTTGTACGGAAGCTTGAAAAGTTGTTGGACACTCAATGGCCTGGCAACGAGATAAAGGTCAATGTTTTTGGCTCGTCAGGGAACAAACTTTGCACAAGCGATTCTGATGGTACGTTACTATCCATACTCTTTATTTGTCGATACCAAACTGATTTACTCGATAGTCGATATTTGCATAACGACACCGTCGAAATGCTTCGAACCAGTCTGCGTTCTAGCCGACTTTTTGGCGAAGAGTGAGTGCGCATCTTAATCTACTCTCCTTCAAAAGGCCTTCTTCGCTAATTCTTTGTATACAGGTGGAATGGAACGAGTTGTCTGTGTGTCACACGCAAAGGTTCCTATTGTCAAAATATGGGATCCAGAACTTCAGGTGGCTTGTGATATGAACGTCAACAACACACTAGCACTCGAGAACACACGCATGATTAAGACATACGTCGAACTCGATGACCGAATTCGGCCTTTGGCAATGCTAGTGAAACATTGGACCAAGCGGCGCATCCTTAATGATGCTGGTATGACTCTCCTGCGATGCTCTAGTTTTCCTTCCCCCTATTCTCTCTTATGTTCACACACTAAATTTTTCAACAACCATGCAGCGCTTGGAGGCACACTTAGCTCATACACCTGGATATGTCTCATCATCA